GGGTGGTAAACTCCTGTGAGACCCGGGCCTGCCCGGCGCCCCCAGGAGTGACAGCTCCTCAGGAGCAGGAGCCAGAGCCGGAGGGCTCAGCCGCCAGCACCGCTTCAGCGGGAAGGAGTCTGCGCTCCTGGTGTCAGCGCACAGGCGACACGGGAAGACACACGTTCTCAGAAAACAAAACCTGTCCCGGACATGGGGTGGGGTATGGGTGGGTGGTATGGGGTGTGGGGTGCGTGGTGTGGGGTATGGGGTGTGTAGTGTGGGGTGTGGGGTGCATGGGGTGGGGTGTGAGGCCTCCCTGCCTTCCCACCACATTTCGGTGACGCTGGAGATGGTGGGGGGTTGGGAAGGGCCCGCCCATCTCTGGCTCCTAGGAAAACGCTGTTTCTGGGGAGACGGCTTTGTTCCCTCCCCCACGTGGCGGGAAGATGTGAGCAGAACCGAGGGCACTTACTTTTCTGGTCTGTAGTGTTGTGCACGGTCACCATGGGGACCCCAGGACCTGCCTCGTGGAGAAGAGAAGCCAGAAAAGAAAGAAATGCTGTTAGTTGATGTGAGAACAAAGGGGCATTGGCCGGGGGTAGGACCCGGCTGTGAGAAAGGCCTGTGCCTGTGTCAGCCCTGTGACCCAATGAAAGAACAGAGACCGGGTTACCGAGCCCCTCCCCTCCCCTTCCCTGCCCTCCCCTCGCCTCCCCTCCTCCCCTGCCCTCCCAGACCAAATGCCAAGCGCATCTGAGCTCCTTCAATTGCCTCACAATCCTGCTCGCCGCCAGCGCATGTTTGCCGTAATTATACAGCGTCTAAAGGAGAAGCACAGAGACTTGTTGATTTTGGCTGCGGCCCGGCCGCGGGTGGGGTGACCTGGGCCCTGGCGGGTGTGGGAAGGCGCGGCCGCCGGTGAGGACGTGACCAGCTGGAGCAAGTGTTGAACCGGGGCCATAGCGGCCAGAACCGAGGCCTCTGCCTCGCTCCCCTGCCAGCTGACTTGAGCCGGCTTTCTTTGGAGAATGACCCGAAGCAGAACAAAACGAGGAACTGGAGTTCCTATAAAAAGCAGCTCGCTCAGCTCTGTCCTCCAGCCAAGTCCCCTAAGGATAATCATCTCTGAAGCTGGCCGCCCCGCCCTCCCAGGTCACTAACAACCTGCTCATTGTCTCTCCCTTGTCTCTGCAAGGAAACCTCTTGGCTTCAGAGAGGCCCATTCACAGGGGCGGAGAGCTGCGCCGTCCCAGCCGCACTTCCTGCCCCCGGTCGGGCTGTGCTGGAGGTCGGCCAGAGTGCGCTGGAGGAGAGCCGCTGCGGAGTGGAGGACCCTGGCCGCAGCCCAGGGGCTGCCACTAATGTTCTCCGAGACGCGGACAAACTACTTACTCTTGTGGAGGTTCAGTTTCTCCATCTGTTATTTGAGGGATGAGCTAAAGCTGTGGTTTCCATACTCACCTCTTTTTAATTTTTAAAATGTTGGCCAACACTTCTTTTCAAGGGAATTTTACATGGACCCACAGGGCAGAAAGCAGAACTGCTTGGTGGGAGTGGGGGCTACATCCCACAGCCCCATCCACTTCCCCTCCTCTCCCCTGCCCTCCCCTGCCCTCCCCTGCCCTCCTCTGTTCCAGCTGTACTCTCTGAAGGTCCCGAGGATGCCCGGCTTGTCCCCACTGGGCCCGCTCTCCCTGCCTGAAATCTCTGCCCCAGACACTGGCAGGGCTTGTCTTTCTCTTCTATGAAGTCTCTGCTCAAACTCCTTCTCCAAAGCCCCGCGGGTCAGCACGCCCTGCCTGACGCACCCTCAGCCCCGCCCCCTGCGTCCCTCTCCACGGAGGGCAGGGCCATGTGCTCTCCTGTCAGGCCTCACAGTAGGTTCTTGGGCGCAGTGGCTCCTGTCCTTTGCTCCTGCCCTGGGTGTAAGTACCAGAGCACGTCTGGACGAGTTCGCAGAAGCGCCTTCCAGCCATTCTTTCCTTGTCCGGAATAGTGGGATAGTGGGATAGTGGGATAGAGGGATAGTGGGATAGAGGGATAGAGGGATAGTGGGATAGAGGGATAGTGGGATAGAGGGATAGTGGGATAGAGGGATAGTGGGATAGAGGGATAGTGGGATAGAGGGATAGTGGGATAGAGGGATAGTGGGATAGAGGGATAGTGGGATAGAGGGATAGAGGGATAGTGGGATAGAGGGATAGAGGGATAGTGGGATAGAGGGATAGAGGGATAGTGGGATAGAGGGATAGAGGGATAGTGGGATAGAGGGATAGAGGGATAGTGGGATAGAGGGATAGAGGGATAGTGGGATAGAGGGATAGAGGGATAGTGGGATAGAGGGATAGAGGGATAGTGGGATAGAGGGATAGAGGGATAGTGGGATAGAGGGATAGTGGGATAGTGGGATAGAGGGATAGAGGGATAGTGGGATAGAGGGATAGTGGGATAGTGGGATAGAGGGATAGAGGGATAGTGGGATAGAGGGATAGTGGGATAGTGGGATAGAGGGATAGAGGGATAGTGGGATAGAGGGATAGTGGGATAGTGGGATAGAGGGATAGAGGGATAGTGGGATAGAGGGATAGTGGGATAGTGGGATAGAGGGATAGAGGGATAGTGGGATAGAGGGATAGTGGGATAGTGGGATAGAGGGATAGAGGGATAGTGGGATAGAGGGATAGTGGGATAGTGGGATAGAGGGATAGAGGGATAGTGGGATAGAGGGATAGTGGGATAGTGGGATAGAGGGATAGAGGGATAGTGGGATAGAGGGATAGTGGGATAGTGGGATAGAGGGATAGAGGGATAGTGGGATAGAGGGATAGTGGGATAGTGGGATAGAGGGATAGAGGGATAGTGGGATAGAGGGATAGTGGGATAGTGGGATAGAGGGATAGAGGGATAGTGGGATAGAGGGATAGAGGGATAGAGGGATAGAGGGATAGAGGGATAGTGGGATAGAGGGATAGAGGGATAGAGGGATAGAGGGATAGTGGGATAGAGGGATAGTGGGATAGAGGGATAGAGGGATAGAGGGATAGTGGGATAGAGGGATAGAGGGATAGTGGGATAGAGGGATAGAGGGATAGTGGGATAGAGGGATAGAGGGATAGTGGGATAGAGGGATAGAGGGATAGTGGGATAGAGGGATAGAGGGATAGTGGGATAGAGGGATAGAGGGATAGTGGGATAGAGGGATAGAGGGATAGTGGGATAGAGGGATAGAGGGATAGTGGGATAGAGGGATAGAGGGATAGTGGGATAGAGGGATAGAGGGATAGTGGGATAGAGGGATAGAGGGATAGTGGGATAGAGGGATAGAGGGATAGTGGGATAGAGGGATAGAGGGATAGTGGGATAGAGGGATAGAGGGATAGTGGGATAGAGGGATAGAGGGATAGTGGGATAGAGGGATAGAGGGATAGTGGGATAGAGGGATAGAGGGATAGTGGGATAGAGGGATAGAGGGATAGTGGGATAGAGGGATAGAGGGATAGTGGGATAGAGGGATAGAGGGATAGTGGGATAGAGGGATAGAGGGATAGTGGGATAGAGGGATAGTGGGATAGTGGGATAGTGGGATAGAGGGATAGTGGGATAGAGGGATAGTGCGTGGGATGCAGCTGGCGCTCAAGGACATGGTCCTGCAGTGAGGGCCGTGTGAGGGCTCGCAGGTGTGCAGGAGGGCAGGGTGGCCCCTTAGGGTCCTCGAGGAAGTGGGAAAATGAAAGGAGAGAGAGGAAGTGGGAGGCAGGTGGGAGGCAGGTGGCTGGCAGGTGGGAGGCAGATGGGAGGCAGGTGGGAGGCAGGTGGGAGTCAGATGGGAGGCAGGTGGGAGGCAGGTGGGAGGCAGGTGGGAGGCAGGTGGGTACAGGTGGGCAGAGGGGATAGAGCTGTTGGGACACTGTGGTCAGGGATGCTGCTTGTTCTCTGCTTTGGTTTGGGGCCTTTGGGAGCTATAAACTCACGAGGTGGCCACATCTAAGCTGGAGGACACATGCTATTCAGGCAGAGGGTGTGAGCGGCAGGCAGGGGTGGGAGGGAGATCTCTAAGGAGAGGGGACAGCAATAGCTCCTGTGAGGAGTCAGGCCCTGGAGGGGAGGGGCGGGTTCTGGGTGGCTAGTCCCTGCCCGGAATGTTGTGATTTTAATGGCGTCCCCGGGAAACAGGAGGCGCCTCTCACTTTGCCCTGGAGCCGCAGGCACTTGCCGAGGGCGGGTGTCAAATGGGAAGTGACTTGCCGAGGGCGGGCGTCGAATGGGAAGTGAATGTTTCTTCTCCGAGGGGGACGCTTGTCCGGCTGTCACTGAGGGTTTGCGGGGGTCTGGCCGCACTTACTGAGTTTAGCATCTTGCAAAGCGTTTGGTGATTGATTATGCGGAGCGGCCCATGGAGCGGCCCAGGAGAACCTGCCCCGGGTGGCAGTGAGGGCTGTGAGGACGCAGCCTAAGGGCAGCGGCGGAGGCTGGGCAGCAGCCCTTGCCGAGCAGGGAGCCTCCAGGTCCTGGCACTGGGACAGTCACAGCAGAAAGGAGCCAGCGAGCGCCTCAGACACACGGTGGAGACGCCAGAGGACAGTGGCGGGCGCACCAGCCGCGCTGTTCTCTGTTCACGCCGCGCAGGAGCAGGGACAGTGCCTGTGGCGAGGATGCCGCACCCTCCTGCTTGCCCCCGTGATGCGGGCTATTGGCAAGACCAGCAGTAGAGGCGGGACATCTAGGCACGTGGGGCCGGGACGGGCAGGGTCCCCCCAGCTGTGCACTGGGCAGGGCAGCC